AGTCAATTTTCTGTTGCTGGAACAGAATATAGAAAAAAATAAAGGTTTATGTTGGCTCACGGTCATAGAGGCTGGAAGTCCAAGGATGTTGTGCCTGCATTTGCTTAGTTTCTAGAAAGACCATGTAGTAGGGCATCTAAGCATGAGCAGGAGAGGAAGGAACAAAAATGATCAAATCCTTTTAGCAATCTACTATCATGATTACTAACCCACTCTGGAGGGATGGGTTAATCATTCATTCATAAAGGTGGAGCCCATATTACTCAAACATCTGTAAACGGGCCCATGACGGCTCAATACTTGCTAATTAAATGTCCACAAGTTTTGGCAGGGGCAAAACAAATCCACACTCTAGCACATACCCAGAAACTTTTTATACATTAAAAAAATGCCATTCTTTGGACTAGGAAGCATTGTGAGTTTTGTTGTTTTTAAAATCAGATTTACCCTTCTAATGTTTTATGACACTAAAAGCAGGTCCCTACTCCACCTGCTCTGGGAATAATCATAATAGATGTGCTGTTGATCATTTAGTCATCATAGCATATGGGAGTCCCAGTCAATCTCCCCAAGTCCTGCCTCTATGCCTTTCTTATAACACTGAAAACCCTGCCTACTAGCGTACCTAGTTCATATAACCCTTAGTACTGTGCACACAATGGATCTTAATCTTCTCATTAAGTTCTGTGACTAAGTTGACTTTAATAGAATATTATCCAAATAGGCCTGATCTAATCATATAACACAGTATATGATTTATTTTTAACTTAATTCATTATTATTTTGCAACACTTGGGATCAAGCTCAAGGCTTTGCAAAGGCTAGAGAAAGGGCTGTACCAGATAGCCATTCCCCCAGGCATATGAATTCTTTACAATCACAATTTTCTTTGCCTGGTAGCAAAAGAGGAAGTCAGAGATTCAACATTTAAAACATTCTCTGTTGCAGGCTCTGCTGATAGAGTGGGGGAGCTAGGAATTTGAGGCCTCAGGGAGCCAACAGCAATCCCAGGAAACAGGGGCCTCAATTCTAGAACTAGAATGAGGATTTTTCCCAGGGCTTTCAGACAAAAACTCAATCTACCTGATACCTTGATTTTAGTGTTATGACTATGACACCTTGAGGAGAAATCTGGCAAGTCCCTATAGAAAATTCTCAACTCAGTCCTGTGAACTAATCAACAGGTGTTGACTAAAATCACCAAGTTTAGGACTGGAGAGATGGGTCAGTGGTTAAGAGCACTGCTACTCTTACAGAGGACACAAGTTTGGTTTCCAGTATCCACATGGCAGCTAACAAGCTTCTGTAACTCCAGTTCGAGGGGATTCTACACTATCTTCTGATTTCCATGGGCATTGCATATATATATGGTGCATTTACATGCATGCAAAACTCATACACATAAAATGAAAATAAATAAAATTAAGAAGTCTAGTAGGATTTTTTTTTTTTTGAGATGGAATCTATGTAACCCTGGTTGGTCTTGAACTCCCAATTCTGTTGCCTCATCCTCCTGAGTAGCTAGGATTGCAGGTATTATCTGGGTAGGTGGGATTACAGACACCACCCCTGGCAGTCTGTGGTCGCCTGTCATGCAGTAACTCAAGACTCAGGTATAATGCCACCTGTCTGAAGCCTTCTACTTCTTCAGGTGCACCTGTGACATCTTCCTTTCCACTGCTATGTCACTTGGTGCCCCTGCTACACTGCAAGTCACCCTGTATTATAATCTTTTCTGTATCTCTGCCTCTTTACAAGGTGAGAATTAGGTTGCTTTAGTATGATCTGAGACACAGTAGGAAGACTAAATGTAATCACTGAATTAAGGTCTCTTCAAGAAAATAACCTAAGGGGCTGGAGAGATGACTCAGTGCTTAAGAACAAGTACTCCTCTTGCTGAAGACCTGAGTTTGGTTCCCTGGGGCTCACAACCATCTGTAACTCTTAATTCCATGTGATCCAGTGCCCTCTTCTGGTCTGTTTGAGTACTTCACTCACACACACACACATACACACACACACACACACAAACTAAAAATAAAATTAAAAAAAATTTTAAAAAGAAGACCAAGATCAATTTTTATTTTTTTTGAGACAGAAACTTACTATTCAGGTCAGGTCAGCTATAGAGCATAGGTTGGCCTTGAATCCCAAGGGTCTGCCCACTTCAGCTTTTCAGGGGGGGATTACAGGGGTGCACCATCACACCTGGCCCTAATTTGTAATCACGTATATTAAAATAACCAAACAGGTCAAGATTTAATATCTAAGGGGAAAAGTCACCAGTATAAAAGATGAAGAGAGCCAGGCATGGTGGCACATACCTTTAATCCCAGAACTTGGGAGGCAGAGGCAGGCGGATCTTTGTGAGTTTGAGGCCAGCCTGGTCTACATAGTGAGTTCCAGGACAACTGGGACTACAAGGAGACCCTGTCTCAAAGAGACAAAAAAAATGATGAAGAGAAAGAATAGCTACCGCAAATATATACAGGGTTTCTAAGAAACCTTTGGTGCAGCAGGTGAGGGAAGGGAAGTGAAGTAGTGAGCAAAGGTATAAAGAAAGATCCATAGATTACTTGGTTAAAAAGACATTTATTTAATGTCTGCCATGTGGTTAGGCCAGGAACTATGGAGAACAAGAGACAATTTAAGGATTTAAATGCTATCTTAGCTGGAGGTTCAGCTCAATGATAGAGTGTCTGTAGGGAATGTGAAACCCATGGTTCGACACTCATTTTTAAATTAAAAAAATTTTTATCTTTAAAAATATTTTATTTTATGTGTATGAATGTATTGCCTGCATGTATATAAGTGTATCCATGTTGTGCAGTGCTTGTGGAGGTCAGAAGAGGGTACTGGCTCCCCTGGAACTGGAGTTACAGTTATTAGCTGCCATGTGGGTGCTGGGAGCTGAACCTAGGTCCTCTGCAGCCAGTGCTCATAACCACTGAGCCATATATCTCCAGTCCCCATCCCCCTACACACTCTTTTTTTTTTGGTCTTTTTGAGACAGGGTCTCCCAGTTCCAGCTGGCCTGGAACTCACTTTGTAGAACAGGCTGGCCTCAAACTCACAGAGATCTGCCTGCCTCTGCCTCCCAAGTGCTGGGACTAAAGGCATGCACCACAACACCCTGCCCCCCTACACAATCTTTATGGGCTTTGAGACACTCATTTCTGTGGCCATACAGATCTTAAAATATTTTTTCGGTCTTTTTGAGACGGGGTCTCCCTGTGGCAACAGCTGGCCTGGGATTCACTATGTGGACCAGGCTGGCCTTGAATTCAGGGTCATTCACCTGCTTCTGTCTCCTGAGTGCTGGGATTATAGACATGCACCACCCCTCCCAGCACTTAAAAGAATTTATTAAATATTTTATCATCACTGTGTTTGTGCATGTGTGTTGTGTATGTTGGTGCACATACCATGTACACATGTGGAGGCCAGAGGTTAACCTTTGGGAGTAGTTCTCTCCTTCCACCATGGCTTTGGGGATCAAACTCTAGTCATCAGAGTTGTGCGGCAAGGGCCTTTACCCGTTGAGCCATCTCACTGGCCCTTAAAAAGAATCTTAAAGACTGCCTTGATTTTCTGCATATATGTTGGAAAGTCCTACTCTTTAAACAAATGGAAATAAACTGATTTCTCTCTTAGCTCTCAATATATTTGGTGTACACCATCTTTGCTCTTTTGCAGTTGATATCTCTGCCAGTGGGTCTGTAATGACAATTCTGGGAAGGGGACTCGGATGTTTTGATATTCAACACTCTCCCTAGGTCCTTCCACATTGCTGCCAGGCCACCTCCCTTGACAGCTTGGGTCTCTTCTAACCTCTGGGCATAGTCCTGCAGCTCCTATCTCTCCCAGGTCAAAGGATGGGGGTGGAATTGTGGTCTGCCACAAGCAGGAAGGGGGATCAGATTGTATCGAGAACCAAGGAAGAATGGCACAGGAAATTGTAAGGGGTATTGGTGGAGAGATGGGGCGGCGGATCAGAGTGGGATAAAATCTGAGAGCAGGTCACTCGACCGAGGGCCTTTAGGGCTAGGCTGATTAATCTGTATTTTACCTCGGTAAATGGGAGCCAAGGGAAGGATGCGGTGAGAGATTCCAGTAGCTTTTGGGCTGGGGGAGGGGTGTCATGTCAACTCGTCTCTGGGAGGAGGTTTCTACATCTTGTAAACGGGAAGATACGTGATACACCATATAGGAACGGAAGAACAGTGAACAGAAAACGCAAACATCTCAAGTTGCAATTAAGGCGGTGGTAAAACCAAGTAATTGTTAAAAGTCCTTTACAGAATGGTGAGGTCTGTGGAGGCAGAGGGCCCTTCGTCTTCTGACACCCTGCCTCGATCTGTAGAGGGTCACTACTTCTCGGGGATGCTGGGGGTCGATAGGGAAACCGGTTCTCCCACTCGACAACTTGCATTTCCACGCGTGCGCAAAACTCCGCGTTTTCGGGTGCGTGCGCACCAGGCCAGACAACAGCGCCGGTGCCAGAGCCAGGACTGGGAACGTAGCGCCGTGAGTGGGCGGGCCCTGGGTGGGCGGGGCTGTCGTGTGCGTGGGCGCAGCCTACAGTGCGCAGGCGCCTCTGTTGGGCGCGCGGCTGCGGTGGTTCCGCTTCGGGAGGGAGGAGGGGCTGCGCGCACCCGAGCTGTGACGTGACGTGAGCCGTCGCGCTACGCCAGACATCACGGGTCGGTGTGTAGTGGCGGCCCGGCTACCCGTGCCTGACTAGGGCGGCGCGGTGCTCGGGGGTCGCGCGGCCAACTGCGAGGACGACAGACAGCGGAGGTCCAGGCCACGCCGCCGCTCCCGCTTCGCGTCTTCTCCGGGCTCTGACGGCGCGGTTCGCGGCTTCCTCTGCCAGGTCTGCCCAGCTTCCCCCGCGGGCCTCCGGGCTGTAGCGAGCGAGAAGCTCCGGAGAGGCCCTGGGCCGCGCGCCCGTCGCCCCTGGCTCCATGTGAAGGAGGTCGAGCCTGGCCCCCGGCCTGCGCCCGGCTCCTGCTGTGGCCCTCCGGCCCCCGGGGACCCCCACAAGGCACAGCTAACCGGGGGCCGCGGTGACAGGCCGCTCGGGGGCGGAGGGGCGAGCTCGGCCCTCGGCTCGGCGAGTCCCCGCCGCTCTGCGGGTAAGTGCTTCTGGCTCCGCGCGCCTGTGTGTGTGGCAGGGGCAGCGGGCGGGGGTTCCGCTGGCGGGGGATCGCCCTGCTCCGGGGAGGGCAGGCATCAGGTACCCCCCCATCCCCATCCCCATCCCCATCCCCATCCGGTGTTCGCGAAGTGGGTTGGGAAACTGCCGGACCCTGCACGGGGATTTTATTTTAATCGGAAGATAGCAGCTGATCGTAGGGAAGAAGCTGGAACGTACGTGCTGTGAGCCAAAAAAGTGCTTGTCTTTGCATTGTCAGTGTGGCAGTCTCCCGGTGAAGGTTGTTTCCCCCTTCTCCCATCTTAGAGCGGCTGTCCAGCGCTCACTGTGCCCCTTGCTTTGCACACTGTACTTGTGCATCAACTCCACTTCCCAGCCATGCTGAGATGAAGGTGTTACTGCCCAAGGTCATGCTGGTGGCCATCGAGGAAGCCCTTGTTTCAGATGTGCAGATGTGTTAGTGTAGGACTGTTTTCCCCCGTCTTGTAAAACACGCGAGAAAAATGAGACTGACTAGAGAGTTTGTCCCTGGGTATAAATTTCCTAACACCTAGGTAGATAAGAGTTTACACTTCCCTGATGAAGGTTGTTGCGTGTATTTTGCTACAGCCTTGTCCAGTCATTTTCTTTTTCAAAAACATTACTTGTGGAAAAGTGGCTCCAGACATTCTTTGATGTGATAGGACTGTACAGAAAACATTTTCTCATTTTGATTGAAAAGAAATATATTTGACAAAGCTGCATATTCTTTAGGTTACAGTTTTATTTTGTAGTTTGTTCTCGACGCATATAGGGAACTCACAGTTGGGTTATTTGCTTGAGATTTCCTTATTGCAAAATTTGTTGCTAGATAATGTGGCAATGTCAACATGCAGTAATTTTGCATTGTCTTATGCAATATTTCCGAGTTTAATGTCAAAATTTAATGTGTAGAATTTACAGGTTATCTCTTTTCATCATTTGTGCAGATTACTAATCTGTATTAATAAGCTAACTGAAAATTCTCATTTTAGCATTTTATTGTTTGATTAACTGGGTTAGTGAATAAGCAGAGCTGGAACTCTTTACAAAAGAAAAGGCTGGTAATTCCTTTGGAGTAATTGAAGCTTCATGTAGCTACAGATGTTTAGGAAACCTAATAATGCTCAATCATGATACTCTGTAATTTCACTAGTATATTACATGTTGAAGAAAATTTGTAGTTGAATGTCTTTGTAATACCTATAGAGAAAAGGTCACATAACAGAGTTAACAGGTATTGTTTGGTTAGAATACATATATTGAATCAGGTTGAATTTGATACCATTAAAGAATTTTCATCTAGTCTTGCTTTCCATGGTCTGTTTTGAGAGAACTAGCTGTTAAAGGCTTATCTTAGATTATTATATTACATTTTTAATACTTTATGTGTATGAGTGTATTGCCTTCATGTGTGTAAGTGCACCTGTGTCGTGCAGTGCTGGTGGAGGTCAGAAGAGGGTGTCAGATCCTCTGGAACTGGAGTTAAGGATGGTTGTTTGCCACTATGTGCGTGCTGGGAATTGAACCAGGTTGTCTGCAAGAGCAGCCAGTGCTCTTAACTGCTGAGATAATTCAAATATTACATAAGATTGAATCTTTCAAGGGATGTTTTAGGTGGAGCATTTTTATCTAGTTTGCTGCTGCCAAAGGGGCAAACCTAGTAGATGCTGTATTAAAATGTGGTCATGTTTAAGTGTGCTGTTTTCTACAGTTGGGTTTTAAGGTTGTTTCTCCCCCTCCCTCACCTCCTTAGAGAATTGGAACTCTCTAAGTTATTCCTCTTCAACTTTTTATTATGAAAGTGATTTTAAGCATAAAGAAAACATGTCAGGAGCTGGAGATGGCTCAGTGGTTAAGAGCACTGACTGCTCTTAGAGAGGACCCAGGTTCGATTCCCAGCACCCACATGGTGGCTAACAATTGTAACTCCAGTTCCAGGGGAATTGGACGCCTTCTTCTGACCTCCACAGGCATTGCATGACATGGGTGCATTTACACATGTAGGCAATACACTCATACACATAAAATAAAAATAAATTTTAAAAAAGAAAACATGTCAACGGCAAACAGCAATATGTGGAGTAAGAAACCAAAGTTGCCTGCTTTCTAGTACCTGTTTATAGTTGTATTAGTATACAGATATTTAAAGAAAGAATTCAAGGTTATATAATCATAACTTATTTTTTTAGTGTGTTTGAACCAGGGCCTTGTGCGTCCTCTACCACCCGTGACATTCTTAATTTTGTTTCACCTTCAAGTTTTTTATCTTTTTTAAATGTCTTATGTTTGCTTTTTGTTCTGGTTCCTTTGGAATGTCTACAATTTTAAGATTAGATCTCCACTGTCTACATCTGTCATTTCTTAATATTTTTATCTCTTTGGTTTTTGTTTGTTTTGAGGCAGGGTCTCACTGTGTACCCCTGGCTGGCCTGGAACTCATAGAGATTGGCTTGCCTCTCCTCCTGAGTGCTGGGATTAAAAGTCATGCAGGTATTAAAGGCATTCTCCACCTCATCTAGCAATTTTCATCTCTTTGTTATTTTTCATTCTAGTAGAGCTTCTTAGGTATAACTTCCTTCCATACAACATTGACAGGTCTGTTCTTTTAACCCTCCAAAACCAATTATGTATTTTTCATGCCAGGTGTATTTGTTTTTTATTATTTCACCTAATTTTAAAAATTAGCATACAAAGTAATGGGTTTCATTATAGCATTTTCATACATAATGTGTCATTATACTTTGTTCTAATTCATCTCACTCCTCCATCTCATCTACCCCTCCCCCTACTGTTCTCTTTCTTCCCCAGATACTCCCCCCTTCTGCTTTCATGTCACATAGATTTATTACTCCCCCTCCCTAAGATTTCTTCCTCCGATTTCATGATCTCCTTTATAGTTTCATAACCTACATTAGACACAAGTGTTCAGACACACACAATTTTAATTTGCCTTTCTGAGCCTGGCCTATTTTGACTAACATAATGATTTCCATTTCCATCCATTTTCCTGCAAATGTCATAATTTCATTTTTCTTCATGGTTAAATAAAATTCCATTGTGTATATGTGCAACATTTCTTTATTGGTTCATCTGTTGATGGACATTTAAGCTGGTTCAAATTTCCTGACTATTCTGAATTGTGCAGCAGTAAACAAGGATATATCTGTGTAGTTTGTTGACTTGAGTCTTTCAGGTATATACCCAAGAGTGTTATAGCTGGGTCATATGGCAGCACTATTTTTAGTTTATTGAGAAACCTCCATACTAGTTTCCATAATGGCTATACAAATTTACATTCCTGTTAGCAGTGTGTAAGGGGTCCTCTTAAACTCCATGTCCTTGCCACCATTGTCATTCTGTATGTGTGCAAGTGTGTGTGATAGCCATTCTGACTAGGTGAGATGGAATCTCAAAGTAGTTGTAATTTGTATTTTCCTAATGACTTAAGGAACACTTCCGAGTATTTATTGACCAATTGTGTATTAGAGAACTGTCCATTCATTTCATTAGCCCATATATTGATTGGATGATTAGGTTTTTTGGCATTTAATTGTTGCCATTCTTTATATATTCTAGGTGATAGATCCCTGTCTGAAGTATATTTGGCAAAGATTCCCCCCCACACACTGTAGATTGTCTTTTCACTCTGGTGATTGTTTCTTTTGCTGTGCAGAAGACTTTTAATTTCATGTAACCCCAGTGGACAATTTTTTGAATTATTTCCTGTGCTATTGGAGTCTTTTTCAAAAGTCCTTACCAATAGCTATATCTTGAAATGTTTTCCCTATGTTTTCCTCTATCAGTTCCATAGTTTCAGGTCTTACATTAAGGTCTTTGATCCATTTTGAATTGACCTTTGGGCAGGGTGATAGATCTCATTTCATTCTACTACATTCATGAGTATTTTAATTCTCATTTAAATCTTTCTTTTCTTGGTTACCTAATTTCTTTCTGGTTGCTGTAATAAACATGATTAAAAGCAATATGGGGAGGAAAAGGTTTATTTAGTTGGCTTATGGGTTACAGTCCATCATCTAGGGAAACCAAGATAGGCATTTGAGGCAGGAACTGAAGCAGAGAACATGGAGGAAACATTTGTACTGACTTGCTTTCTCTCATTTGTGCAGCTACTTTTTTTTTTTTTCGTTTTATGTGTATGAGTGTTTTGTCTGCATATATGTAAGTGCACCTGTATAGTGCGATGCCCGAAGAGGCCAGAAGAGGGCATCAGACCCTTGGAATTGGGGTCATAGATGGTTGTTAGCCATCATGTACTAGGAACCAAACCCAGGTCCTCTGGAAGAACAGCCAGTGCTTGTAATCACTGAGCCATCTTTGTAGCCCCATCAGCTACTTTTCTTATACAGTCCAGGCCCACCTCCTAGGGGTGGCATTGCTCACAGCAGGGTGGTCCCTCCATATCAATTAGCAATTAAGAAAATGCCTCAGAGACATGACCATAGGCCAGTCTGATGGAGATAATTCCTTAGTTGAGATTTCCTCTTCCCAGGTATGTCTAGGTTTGTTAAATTTACAAAAACTAATCAACATCCACTTCTTGTCAGTTTTGACACACACATTATTTTAAGTCACTACCTTGTCTTTCTTTGTCCGTAAGATCATATGTTAATACCACAATATAAAATACAACTTTAAAAGTTTAACATTCTTGGGGCTGGAGAGATGGCTCAATGGTTAAGAGCACTGACTGCTCTTGCAGAGGACCCGGGTTCGATTCCCAGCACCAACATGGTGGCCATGAACCGTCCTTAACTGCAGTTCCAGGGGAATCTGAAGCCGTCTTCTGACCTCCGCGGCATTGCACGACATGGGTGTACTCACGTACATGCAGGCAATACACTCATACACATAAAATAAAAATAAATAAAATATTTAAAAAAAAGTTTAACAGTCTTGAGCCAGGCATGGTGGTACACACCTTTAATCCCAGCACTCAGG